CTGCATACGTCGGATTGGGCTCCAGTGATTCGCGGTGGGGAGTCCTTTCATCGAGTTGGTCTTCTGGTGAGTAGTGGGGTGGTGATCCGGTGATGTAGGAGTCCGTCGTTCTTGTCATGCAGCTAACGATGTTTCTTGTTCCTTGTGAAGATTGCGATGTTGAAGATGTTGAAGGCTGTACTTGACTGGTGGGATGCGCCTTCGTAGAGGCTACTTGACTGCTTGAAGGCCGAAGTTGGCGTTGCGGTGTTGTCGACTGCTGCTGATTCGGGCAGTGTGTGCGCGGATGACCGGACGTCTTGCAAAGATGACAAAACGGTGGGACGTACTGTTGTACTTGTCGGTTGTTGTGTCGGTTGTTGTTGTTGTTGTAGCGTCGTTGAGTATGAAAAGCGAATTCCGGTGCTAACGCTTTCTTCTTGTGTCGTTCTTCGTGCAGGTCCATATCCTGTTGTTCGGCGTGAATTTCGGCGCAGAGTGCTGCTTCAGAGATCTTCCCGTGAGCTCGAAGGAGAGCTTGAGTGGAACGTCAATGAGGACCAAGACCGGCAATGATGACTGTTACAAATGCTTCTTCCGAAATTGACCCTCCGCATCGAAGGAGTCTGTCGCGCAGTCCGCGACAACGGCTAATATAAGCCATTCCCTTTTCACCGGGTTTCATTTCCACTGTTGTCAACTGTGCCATGAGACGACTCTGGTTAACGCTGTCTGTTGCTTGATACAGGCTCTTCAGATGGTCGTATGCCAGCTCGGCGGAGTTGCCGTATCCTCGATAAGACCGGATGTTCTGTTGCTCGTTTGGCGTTAAGTTTCGAAGAAGTATCGTATACGCCATCAGCGATTGATACGTATATTGCTGCTCGTCGTATTGTGTCCCGTGTGCCGGATATGGCAGGGACCCGTAGAAGAATCTGAGGATTTGCGCGCCCTCCATCATCAGCTCAAATTCGAATGACCAGGTATAAAAATCTTTCCCGTCGAAGAGTGTTGATGTTTGCAATTTTAGGACGTGTGTGAATTGCGATTGCACCTGAAGCGCGTCCAGTGTCTTCTCTTGTCCAGGTGAAGACTGCGGTTGCGGCGCGAAACTGACGGAGCCGCGTTGAGGCTTATACAAGGCAAATGTAGGTTGTTGTTGATTTCCACGCGCATAGGATGAACCGTCGAGGCTCATCGGAGTTGCTCTGTTGTTGTCGCTGTTGTTTGATTGCACAGGAGCTGCTTGCTGGTGTTGCTCGTAGAAGGACATGAAGGAGAAAAACTTCTCCATCATGTTTGGGTCGAAGCCTGCTTGTTGGTTCCCGGGAGTTTCCGTTGACTCTGCAGCTGGTCTTGTGCCTTCTGACAGAATATAATTGTGACATTATATTATAACTGCCTGTAGTGTAGATTTAGTGTAGTTATATTCCTTGTGATTGTGGTGCACCTCCTTGTTCTTGCCTATATCTTGTATCTCCTTTCTCATAATGAACCATCATTCCTCTCCAATTCTCTCGACACTCAATCCTTAGCTCATCTCCCTCGCCATGGTTCCTAATCCTCGCCTACTATTCTCACATGGTATTAAGAGCAATAAGTTCTAGGACCTAAGATCAATGGGCCCACCAACTACGTACCTGCTAGCCTAGGCCCCGGCCCGTCACCCCGTGGCGTCGCCCATAGCCCCTAGGCTCGGCCCCTTGGCCCGTCGCCCCTAGCTCGGCCCCTCGGCCCCGCTGGCCCCGTCGATTCCGTCGCCCGCGCCCGGCCCGTACCTCGCCCACGCTTGGCCCCGTACCTAGCCAGCGATCGGCCCGTACCTAGCCTCGCGCTAGGCCCCGTTCCTAGCCCCGCGCCCGGCCCGTACCTAGCCTCGCGACCGGCCCGTACCCTGCCCGCGCTCGGCCCCGTTCCTAGCCCCGCGCCCGGCCCGTACCTAGCCTCGCGACCAGCCCGTACCCAGCCCCGCGCCCGGCCCGTACCTAGCCCGCGCCCGGCCCCGTTTGTCGCCAGCGCCTGGCCCCGTACCTAGCCCGCGCCCTGCCCGTGTAACGCCCGCGCCAGGCCCCGTACTTAGCCCGCACCCCGGCCCCGTACCTGCCCAGCGCCCGGCCCCGTACCTGCCCAGCGCCCGGCCCCGTACCTGCCCAGCGACCGGCCCCGTTCCTGCCCAGTGCCCAGCCAAGTACCTGCCCAGCGCCCGGCCCCCGTTCCTGCCCAGTGCCCGGCCCCGTACCTGCCCAGCGCCCGGCCCCGTACCTGCCCAGCGCCCGGCCCCGTACCTGCCCAACGCCCGGCCCCGTACCTGCCCAGAGCCCGGCCCCGTACCTGCCCAACGCCCGGCCCCGTACCTGCCCAGAGCCCGGCCCCGTACCTGCCCGGCGCTCGGCCCCCGCTCCTGCCCAGTGCCCGGCCCCGTACCTACCCAGCGCCTGGCCCCGTACCTGCCCAGCGCCCAGCCCCGTAACTGCCCAACGCCCGGCCCCGTACCTGCCCAGAGCCCGGCCCCGTACCTGCCCGGCGCCCGGCCCCGTTCCTGCCCAGTGCCCGGCCCCGTACCTGCCCAGCGCCCGGCCCCGTACCTGCCCAGCACCCGGCCCCGTACCTGCCCAACGCCCGGCCCCGTACCTGCCCAGCACCCGGCCCCGTCCCTAGCCCAGCACCCGGCCCCGTACCTACCCAGCGCCCAGCCCCATTCCTAGCCATGGCCCCGTCGCCCCTAGCCATGGCCCCTCGCGACCTGCCGCCCCTAACCGCGGCCCCGGTGCCGGGGTGAGGACCTGGGGGTTGTTAAGAGGGCCGGCCGGCAGTGAGCTGTCACGCTCATGCACGCTCCCCCACCTCCTCTCCTCATCCCTCACTCACCTCCCCCTTTGTAAAAGGGGGTTAGTAAGAGGGATGGCCGGCAGTGAGCTGTCATGCTCATGCACGCTCCCCCACCTCCTCTCCTCATCTCTCTCACTCACCTCCTCCTTCGTTCTTATCTCCTCTCACCTCCTCTCTCTCTCTCTCTCGCCTCCTCTTCCTCATTTACCTCCTTGCCGTCTTCCACTGCGGGTGGTGTACCCCTTCAGGGGGTGTTTCTGCACATGATTCTTCACTGCAGGCAGTTAGGGGGTGTGTCAGAATATATTTGTGACATTATATTATAACTGCCTGTAGTGTAGATTTAGTGCAGTTATATTCCTTGTGATTGTGGTGCACCTCCTTGTTCTTGCCTATATCTTGTATCTCCTTTCTCATAATGAATCATCATTCCTCTCCAATTCTCTCGACACTCAATCCTTAGCTCATCTCCCTCGCCATGGTTCCTAATCCTCGCCTACTATTCTCACACCTTCTTCTGTCTGTAGGCCAGAGACTGGAGGTGGAGTAGGGGTGGTGCCGAGAGATCCGTTGGAGGAGCTCCTCTCCTTTTGTGTAGCCATGACTTGTGTTGTAAGGAAGTTTGAAAAAGTGATATTGTCCTGTCTGCTCTCATACCATGTTGGGCTGAGAAAAGCCCTTAGGATCTTTCAGGACTAAGATCAGGTGTTGACGTAGAGATGTAATTGCGGAAGCGTTTTAATGAAAGTGTGCCTTGAACCACCTTGTATTGGTGTGTGAGAACAAGATAAGTTATTAATAGCAAAGAGATACAAGCCTTTTATATGATTACAAGGAATATGAAGAGTTCTACTTTAACTGTTTTGCTGTTGCGGTTCGATACAGTGCGGACTCGGGTAACTGCTTAGTAACGAGTCAGTTATGTGACCTTGCTGTCGCACTGTTTGTTTTGTCAAGTCAAAGGTCGGAGACCTTTGACCTTCGCGTAACCTCCGACGGTTGCCTTGGTTGACTCGAGTGCTTCTTTGCTGTAGTCAGCTCCGTTTCGTGTCGAAGCTTCGGTACGACAGAAGCGTTTATATCACTTGTTTCCAACAGTCTTGCCAACAGAGGTGGATCGAGTTGATCCAGGCCGAGTCGCTAGGAAAGCGCGGGGAGAAGGGTCGATGGTTCTTTCTGAGGCAAGGAAATGACGAATCGCCCTGTTTACGAGTTTCCGATTCTTTTTTGCAGTGGTTTTGACACCGCCTCGCTTTTCCGCTCGCGTCCGATTCTTTGGGGCAGTTTTTTTCGACAATCCCAATTTCCTGTGACCAGGGACATTGTAAAATATACCTGTCAAAAAATAAACCCCTCTCGGATGGCTGGCCATTTGGGAAGGATCGACCCTAAACACCTTGCCTCATGGTGTTTAGGGTTGATGCCTCCCAAATGGCATGCCGTCCGTGAGGGGTATATATTTTTTGTCCCGAGCTGCTCGTTATTGATGCGGCGATATAATTTAGGATATCCCAGTAAATAAAACAGAATATTAGTCTCTGGACTGAAAAGGGGAAATAGCGTAATTATCTGACCGAAGGTATCGGACGCGAGCGCAAAACAAAGCGGTGTCAAAACCACTGCCGAAAGGAATCGGAAACCCGAAAACAGAGCGATCCGTCATTCCCTCTTCTGAGGCGGACACAAAAATTGTTGTTCCGCGCAAATTCGCCAACCAAGGTTGCGAAACGGCGTTGGGGGCGCGAAACGTCTGTACGCCATTTGTGGAGAGGTTGCGTTCGCGAGCCTTTCGAAAACAAAGAACATCCTTCGCAAAGTTCTGGTTACAGCTTCGTGCGGTTTCAGAATACATTTGTCCACGAAATGAGGCCAACCGCCGGGTCGTAAACAGTTACACGTAGGACGAGCCCACATACAGCTATCGCCAACGATCTGTCGCAGAGTATTGCGAACTTGTAACCATGCGTATTTTCAGAACCACGTAGATTTTGGAATCCTGCGATCCCGGCCTGAGTACTGGATCATAGCACAGCTCCAAATGCGAGTGAAGTTCATCGGCACTTGCAACTGTCATGTATCTAGGGGTTAGCTAATCGTGACAAATAGCCATGGGCCTTCGCAGCTTTTCATTTGGGCTCTAATTAGACGTTTCGCAACCCAACCGCAATTCGTGATTGTGAACACCTTAAGACATGGGGAGAGCACGCAAGGCCCGGAAATACGCGGAGGTGAAGCGGCTTATCAATCCTAAAGAGATACGACAGTGAGTTAGTTTCCGTTTCAGCAAAGCTATATTGGTGAAAAGAACGGCGATAGAGTAACGAAAGAACGGCGATGGAGTAGAACGAAACGAGAGCGATAACCCCCTAGTTTGTTAAACCCCCTCGTAGAACGGAAGGGGATAAGATGCAAGTTTGGCGTGGGACACACGCGCGTGTGTGCTCGTCGCGTGTGTGCGACGAGTGGACTCACAAGTCATCGGGCGTGGAAAACACGCGTGTGGGTTTGTGCGTGCGGTGCTGTGCGGTGAGCAGGTACCGCAAGGACGTGCTAGACCCCAAGAAGCCGGACGACGAGAAAGACAAGCTTCCGCGAAATGTGTAAGTCACGCTGCTGCTGACCGTGGTGATGATGGGGCGGTGGTGATGCTCAGAGGTGGTGGGATGGCCGGACTGTACGTGAACGTGTGAGAGGGTTTAGATAATGAATGATTCCTGTCCGTATCTAGCATCCGTTCTTGTGAGAGAATGGTAATCCTCCTGCTTTCCTGCATAAAAAACCCGAACACCTGAAGTTTGGTCGGTCACGCTAGTGTAAACCCCAAACCCCAAAGCTTCGACCCTGATCTTCGTCGTTGCGTAATAACATCTCTTTATCTCTATCGCACTCTCCACACTCACACGTTCATGCACACACCTTCCCGTTCTCTCTGCCCCTCTCACAACTTCCCTCTCGTCCTCCTCTTCCATCGCGTTTCCCAACATCTCTGGATTCCTCCATTCCTCCTCCCATGCGTGTGGCGTGTGCATGGCTTATGGTGGGGCGTGTGTATGGCTTATGGTGGGGCGTGTGAATGGCTTATGGTGGGGCGTGTGAATGGCTTATGGTGGGGCGTGTGAATGGCTTATGGTGGGGCGTGTGAATGGCTTATGGTGTGGCGTGTGCATGGCTTATGGTGGGGCGTGTGTATGGCTTATGGTGGGGCGTGTGAATGGCTTATGGTGGGGCGTGTGAATGGCTTACGGTGGGGCGTGTGAATGGCTATGGTGGGGCGTGTGAATGGCTTATGGTGGGGCGTGTGAATGGCTTATGATGGGGCGTGTGAATGGCTTATGGTGGGGCGTGTGAATGGCTATGGTGGGGCGTGTGAATGGCTTATGGTGGGGCGTGTGAATGGCTTATGGTGGGGCCTATGTCACGGTGCAGCCCCAACGTGTCATCGGCGCTCTTCTTCAAGCACAACACGGCGCTGGGCCCGCCCTACCAGGTGCTGGTCGACACCAACTTCATCAACTTCTCCATCTCCAACAAGGTCTGCTGCGGCCCCTTCTCTCGCCATCACATGCCTTTTTCCACTCATAAGTCCCCTCTCCCTCCTCCGCATGCCCCTCCACACGCCCACCCCGCCTCGCCATGCCGCTCTTGGAGTTGTACACCTCGTCTGCCGTCATTGCACCACGGCCTCCCATTGCTGCATTGATGATTTCCCTTATTCCCACCCACATGCTTCCAGCCCAGGCATAGCCTTCTCGTTACCCAACTTTCCCCTTCCATATCCCCCATCTCTGCCTCCTCTTTCCTCTCGTGCGTTCCCCCTCTGTTGCAACGTGTTCCCGCATTGCAACGTGTTGGCTGCCCGGTGCTGGTCGGTCCGCGTTGGTGATTGCACACGTTGGTCGGTGGTGGCATCATGCTCGGATGGCCACACGAGCAGCTGGATCTGGAGAAGGCCATGATGGATTGCCTCTATGCCAAATGTCAGTTGTTCCACTCCGCCGCATCGCCCATGAGCTTTAATGATCTGTCGTGACTTATAATAATTTCTCATTATCTTACATGATCCTCGATGATTGCCTATGAGTTAAAAGTTCTCATAATCTCACATAATCCCCCATAACCTCCCATGATCCCATAGTCTCCCATGCTCACCCACGATCTCCCATGATTTCTTCTCATGGCCTCTCCGCTTGCCATGCCACAGCTGGCTCTCTTTTGGCCTGGCCGACCACTGCACGCATGCACTCGTCTGTGCTCCTTAGGTCATCCCTCCACGTTCCATCCTCAGCTACTCCATCTCTGCCCCTGCTTACGTCCTCCCTTCTGCCTCTAACAACATTGTGTGCATTGTGTGTGTGTGTGTGCCTGCCTGTGTGCATGTGACCACCCGTGTGCATGCATGCATGGGAGAGCAGGCACGCCATGCATAACGGACTGTGTGTTGGCAGAGCTGGAGAAGCTCGGCCAGATGTACCGAGTGGCCCTCAGGTGGGTCAGATGTACCGAGTGGCCCTCAGGTGGGTCAGATGTACCGAGTGGCCCTCAGGTGTCCCCCCCTCCCTCCTGCCCTCTTTCCAACTTTTCTTCCGTTGCTGTCCTCTCCGTCACACCCTCTCTTTCGAGCTTCACATGCGCACTCCCCCTGATCTCTCGCGCACTCCCCCTGATCTCTCGCGCACTCCTCCTTATCTCTTGCGCACCCCCCCTTATCTCTCGCACACTCCCCCTTATCTCTCGCGCACCCCCCCTTATCTCTCGTGCACCCCCCCTTATCTCTCGCGCACTCCCCTTTCACGCACTCCCCCTTATCTCTCGCGCACTCCCCCTTATCTCTCGCGCACTCCCCCTTATCTCTCGCACACTCCCCCTTTTCTCTCGCGCCTCAATCACACTCTCTTCCTCATCTCTCAGCTCTCTGTTCTGCTGAATGTGGGCGCACACAAGAAGAGGCAGCAGCGCGAGCGTGTCCAGTTGCGTTGCACTTGTGGCCCTCACACTCCATAACACAGGTCGTCTTCCTTCCCACCCTCCACCTCGCTCTCTCACTCCCTCCCTCTCCCCCCCCTATCCCGGTGTGCCTGCATGTGCAGAATAGCCAAGTCGCCGTCGTTCCTCCGCCTGCCATGCAGCCATGCGGGCACATATGCCGATGACTGCCTTGTGCAGCGAGTCACCCAGGTGCGCATGTTGAGTATGTTACGACTGCCCACTGCCACAGACAGACGCCCACTGCCACAGACAGACGCCCACTGCCACAGACAGACGCCCACTGCCACAGACAGACGCCCACTGCCTCAGACAGACGCCCACTCCCACAGACAGACGCCCACTGCCACAGACAGACGCCCACTGCCTCAGACAGACGCCCACTCCCACAGACAGACGCCCACTGCCACAGACAGACGCCCACTCCCACAGTCGCCCAATGACTGCTGTCTGCTCTATCGAGCACACCACTGCTGTCCATTCTCACCATGATCGCTGCTGTCGCAAGCTACACCTGCACCATCATCTCTGAGGCGCCTCAAAAAGCAAGCTACACCTGCACCATCATCTCTGAGGCGCCTCAAAAAGCAAGCTACACCTGCACCATCATCTCTGAGGCGCCTCAAAAAGCAAGCTACACCTGCACCATCATCTCGGAGGCGCCTCAAAAAGCAAGCTACACCTGCACCATCATCTCTGAGGCGCCTCAAAAAGCAAGCTACACCTGCACCATCATCTCTGAGGCGCCTCAAAAAGCAAGCTACACCTGCACCATCATCTCTCTTGTGTGTTTATCACCATCGCTTGCCACCCTCCTGCCACGCCTTTCCCTCATTTTCCCAACCTGGCATTAGTGGCTTCAACCCTCCTTTAGGAGCCATGTCCCTTTGCTTCTCTTCTATTCATCCCATCCACTTTCGTGTTTATCTGCTCTCTCCTCTCGGGCCTTCCACGGCCGTATTGCTCTGCACCAATCCCTGCCATGTCTCCCCTTGAATCTAAACCCCTTCCTCCCAACCTTCTTGTCCTTCCCATCTTCCCCTGGCCCCTTTTTCCCTGCACCCGTGCCCCTGCCCTCTTCTTCCTGCTCCTTTTCCCCTGCCCTCGTGCCCCTGCCTTCTTTCCCCTGCCCACATGTCCTTTTTTTCTCTGTGCCCAGCACAAGTGCTACATCGTGGCCACGTGCGATCGTGACCTTAAGCGCCGCATCCGCAAGGTGAGATCTGGTGCGCTCAGGCGCTCACATGCACATACTCACTCCTCCGCCGTAGGCACGCAGGTACACATGCAGGCAGCAGGCACACAGGCACACACCTGCTCCTACACAAACGTGCAGGCACACACACAGATAATATCGCGCGGATACACTGGCTGCTTGCGATTCTGCGGTGAACAAAGTTGTTGTGAACTGCGATACATCGTGGTTTTGGCAGCGCATCAGGGATGTAGATTGGAGAAAGGAGGTAGATTGATGTGCCAGCATTGTGTGCCTCCTCCCTTGCCAGCATCACCCAATGCATTCACTCAAACAATTGTCTGTGATTTTTATTTATTTATTTTTAATGAAATTGTTGAAGGGTACAAAAAAAATAACCAGCATCATCTGCTCTGATGCCTTTCGGTTATGCAAGCACACGAATGCCAATCATTCGTCTCAACAATCATTCCATTGGCCTATTGCTCATGGACTGGCTATCCCCCCCCCGCCTAACCCTTCCCCCTCTCTCCTCACTGGTGCCAGGCGTGCCCATCATGTGCATTAGCCGGTCAATTTCCGCCCCTCCTCCCCTTTTGTCCCCCGCGTCCCAGGTGCCGGGAGTGCCATAATGTACATAACACAGTGCAAGTACTCCATCGAGCCAGTTTCTGGGGCACCTAAAAAACTCATCCCCTTCATCCCCCTCCGTCTCCCCGCAGGTGCCAGGAGAACCCATAATGTACATAACACAGCGCAAGCACTCCATCGTTTCACGTTTGAGGCGGCTAAAGCATGTTCATCCCCGCCCCTGTCCTCTCAGCTGCCGGGTGTGCCCGTCATGTACATAGCATGTGCATAGCATGTACATAGCATGTACATAGCATGTGCATTGGCCGTTTCTTTCCGCCCCTCGTCCTTGTCCGTCCCTCTCCCCCCGCCTCGCAGGTGCTGGGAGTGCCCATCATGTACATAACGCAGTGCAAGCACTCCATCGAGCCGGTTTTCTAGGCATCTCGAGAACAGCATTTTCCCCCATCGCTCCCATCTCCCTGCAGGTGCCGGGAGTGCCCATCATGTACATAACACAGCGCAAGTACTCTATCGAGCGCATGCCTGAGGCCACCATTGGCGGAGGTAACATTGCCCCAACCCCCTGCCCTCCCTTCCACGCCACCCCGTGCCTTCCCACGCCCTCCCACGCCCTCCCACGCCCTCCCACGCCCTCTCACGCTCTCCAACGCCCTCTCACGCCCTCCTATGCCCTCTCACCCCCTCCCACACCCTCCGATGCCCCCCCATGCCTTCCTGAACCTTGCCTTTCCTGTGCCTCTTGCATTCTCGCACCTTGCGCGTGTTCCTTGTCTTTCTGCTTTGAGCATGTCGCCAGTGGTCATTCCATTCAGCATGCCCTGCTTCTCACACACCCTTGCATGCTGCTCATCTCCTCTTTGCTCTTTGTGATTCCAACTCAGCATGCACCTTCCCATCCATCCCCCTTTCATCCATCTCCCTTCCATCCACAACCCACACCCCAATGCAAGTGCAGCTCCTCGTATGTAGACCTGGATGTGTCGTGTGCTTCCAACTTCTGGTAATCATGAAGCAACTGTGACAGCAGCAGCAGCAGCAGCAGCAGCAGCTGCAGCAGAAGCAGCAGCAGCAAAGAGTGCACTTATTCTTGACATACCCGAAGGCAATCATACCCTGTGCTATTGCTGGTGGCAAATACCGGTAGCAGGGCAGGGGCAGTTAATGCTGGCTTGTATTTCGTCAACAACACAACTGTACATATGAGGTTGTGCCAAATGTATACACTTGCGATTCTACTGTAGTTCCCCGGATAAAAGTAGAGGTGTTATTTAAGCACATGCATGGGACAATTACTTGCATACACTTGTAGAACTAGTCACTAATTTCAATCGAATTGGCACGGTAGTGAGTAGCTCCCTAAATCCTTAGAACGTTTTCTTGCAGCCTCTGATAAGGCTAGCACTTGTCAGACTTGGGAGAAACGCCTTCTATCGACTTGAACCGAACTTTTATTGTTGCTGGTGTGCGGAGTGTGCACCTGTTACGGGTGCAATTGAACGAGCGAGCCAGAATTGCACTATTGAAGCAAAACAGTACATCGAGCGAAGGCATGAGCGAAGAATATATAGCGAAGCTAAAAGTGGTAACGGTAATGTGTGAAAATGGGGTGCGCTACGGGCCTAGCGCTGAGGCTGGGGATTGTCGAGGCGGAGGTCCAGAGCGCGAGTTACCAATCGAATCGTGAGGTTGGGTTGCGTCGTGAACACTGGCGGGAACAGTAGTCGAGGCAAGTGTCGCGAGTGGTGACGGTGCCCTGTTGAGAGTTGTTGGCGGGAACAGTGGTGTACGCGCTGAGCAGGGATGCAAAGTAAGGAAAAGGAATTTTCCTTACACTACCCCCCCCCCCCCCCTTAAGGAGGCCCTCACGAAAATTTCGGCTGCGCAGGTACTCGTTGAGGACAGGGTGGTTCTCGAGTCTATCCAGGGAACCCAGTTGTCTTCAGTCGGTGTACGGTCCTTCCAGCGCAGAAACTCGATCCTACGAGCTCCACGTGGGTCACGAACTTGGTGGCTCAGTATTTTTCCGGGCGTGATGATTGGTTCTGTTGGCGGTCGTGTCATGCTGGCTGGGCGGTTGCGAGGCAACTGGCTGGTGGATGGGACGTATGGGCGGAGCAGGCTGATGTGGAATGACGGGTTGACATACCAGTCAGCAGGGAGGAGGAGATGGGCGGTGACGGGGGTGATTATGTGGCTGATGCAAAATGGCCCGCAATATCGGGGGCGGAGTTTTGGGGTGACGGGCTGGCGGAGGTTCTGGGTATCAAGTAGAACAAGGTCGTCGGGCTGGTAAGTGACGGGACAGCGATGGCGGTCGGCGTTGCGTTCTGGATATTCGATTTTTTTACTGCGTCTGCTTCTCGGGTCCGTGCTGCTTGTAGGATTTCTGCAAACTGCTGCGCGCGTGGCACCGGGTTGTCGAGATTCAGGGTCATGAGTACTGTGGGGTCTTGTCCGTAGTTCAGGTAGAATGGCGACTGTTGGGTCGTGGCTGATGGACAATTGTTGTATGCGAATTCGATGAGTGGCAGTTGCTATTCCCATGTGGTTGGGTCGTCGCACGTGGCTCGGATTAAATGTTCCATGGTTTGGTTGTCCGTTCTGTCTGTCCATCGGTTTCGGGGTGGTATGATGAACTGAACTGTAGTCGCGGGCCGAACTGCTGCCACATGTTCTGCCAGAAGTTGCTGGTGAATTTCGTATCGCGGTCGCTGATGATCGCCGCTGGTATCCCGTGCAGTCGAACGACGGTGGCGATGAAGAGGCGGGCTGTTTCTTCAGCTGTGATTGATTTTTTGCAGGCTGCGAAATGTGCCATCTTCGTCAGCCGATTGACGGCGACCAGGATCGCGTCGTTTCCACTTGCTCCGGCCGGTAACCCCATGACGAAGTCCATGGTCACCTGCTGCCAAGCACGCTCTGGGGGTGGTATCGGCTGCAACTGTCCCGCCGGTCGCTGTCGTGACGACTTCATGAGCTGGCAGGTGGGACACGATGCCACATGTCGCTGCACGTCGGTCAGCATCTCGGGCCAGTAATAATATCGCTGCAGCTGCTGCCGTGTTTTTTCCACCTCGAAATGTCCTGAGGTGACCCTGTCATGTGCCTCCTGTAGCAGTAATTCCTGTAGTAGGGTGTAATCCAGTACCCAGATCCTATCGGTGCTGGCTTTTACGTAATACACCCCTTTTGCTGCTGCGAACTGCTGCGAGTTTCCTCGAGTGAAGAATGGGTCGGTCTGATAGCCGTGGGTAAATAGTCCTATGAGCAGTGGGCTGGTCTGGGCGAGTAGTATGGCGTGTATCTGGGCAGTTGGGCGGGCCAGTGCGTCGGCGATGTTTGATGCTCCTTTTTTGTAGGTGAGCGTGTAGTGAAAATTGGACTCGAGGAAGTCGAGCCAACGGACCTGTCGTAGGTTGAGGTGGGGCTGTGCACAGAGGTACTGTAGTGATTTGTGGTCTGTTTGTACTGTCACGTCAGCGCCGGTCAAGTAACAGCGCCAAACTTTAAACGCTTGCACGATCGCGAGCATTTCGCGGTTGTGTATTGGGTAATTTTTCTCAGGCGGGTGCAAATTTCGTGACTCGTATGCGATGGGCTGTAAGCCGTTGCCGAAATCCTGTAGCAGTACGGCTCTGATGGCTATGTCGCTGGCGTCTGTAACTACTTCGAACGGGCGGTGTGGGTCGGCAATGCGCAGTACGGGCGGTGAACAGAGAACAGTTTTTAGGGCAGAGAAGGCAGCATGCTCTTTCTCCCCCCACGTAAACGCCACTCCCTTCCGCACCAAATCTGTCAGCGGGGCCGTTAAGCGCGCCATGTCAGGGACGAACCGACGGACGTAATTAACGAACCCTAAAAAACTCTGTAGTACTGTGATGTTGGTTGGGGGACGCCACGCTTTTACCGTGTCTAACTTCTTCGGGTCAATCTCAACTCCAGTCTCCGAAATAACGCGCCCCAAAAATTCTAGTCGGTCGTGAAAAAGCTCACACTTCGAACCCTTGGTGAGTAACCTATTCGCGTCTAAAATCTTGAACAATTCTTCCAGATTCGCTAAGTGCTGCTGCTTGTCGCGGCTGTAAACCAGGATGTCGTCGAGGTAAACTATTACGCATTTATCTTAAAGTGGCCGAAAAGACTCATTCATGGTCATCTAGAAAGTGGCCGGTGCGTTGGTCAGCCCGAATGGAATTAATGTGTACTTGTTACGAGTGCAATTGAGTGAGCGAGCGAGGACTGCACTATCGAGACAAGAATACATCGAGCGAAGGATTGAGCGAAGAATATATAGTAAAGCTATAGTGGTAACGGTAACGTGTGGGAATTGGGGTGCGCGACGGGCCTGGCGCCGAGGTTGGGGATTGTTGAGGCGGAGGTTCGGAGCGCGGGATACCAACCGAACCTTGAGGTTGGGTCGCATCGTGAACAGTGGCGGGAATGGTGTCGAGGCGAATGTCGCGAGTGGTAACGAATTATTGTGGGATGTTGTTGGTGGGAACAGTGGTGTATACGCTGAGCAGGGACGAGAAGGAAAAGGAATTTTCCTTACACTACCCCCCCCCCCCCCCCCTAAGGAGGCCTTTCTTACGAAAGCGCGTGTACATCCCTGAAATTCCGGCTGCGCACATACTCGGTGAGGACGGGGTGGTTTTCGATTCTGTCCAGGGGAACCCAATTGTCCTCGGTGGGCGTGCGGTCTTTCCAGCGGATCAGAAATTCGACCCTTCGAGCTCCCCGTGGGTCACGAACTCGGTGGCTCAGAATCTTTTCGGGCGTGATGACTGGTTCTGTCGGTGGTCGTGTGATGCTGGCGGGGCGGTTGCGGGGCAGTTGGCTGGTGGATGGTACGTAAGGGCGAAGCAAGTTGTCGTGGAAGGACGGGCTGACGTACCAGTCAGCAGGGAGGAGGAGGTAGGCGGTGACAGGTGTGATCAGGAGGAGGAGGAAAGGCGTCGGAGATGTCAAAGCCTTTGCAGTGATGGTAAAGGAAGTCATTCTCTTTAGTTGAGCCATGTCTAGATGTCTTGTCGAACAGTGGGTTTTCGATGGTGTTGAGGTCTCCTATGACAAGCAGGTGAGAGCTTGGTGGGATAAGGCTTAGAACTGGTCCAAGTACAGTCCTAATGAATGCTCTCTTTTCCGCTTTGTCTGCGGGGAGATAAGTTGCTATTAGGGTAAGTTGAAGGTTGGAGCAGTGGATGTCGTCTTCCACTAACCGTCCTGAAGGGTGAGCTAATGGGTTATGGAAAGAGAGATCTGTTCGGCGACTGAGAACTACAACTCCTCCAGCCCTAGTCACAGATGCGGTGGCGGCAAATGAAGAAAGATCGAGGGTGGACCAGTAGGGGTTATCCGTTGCTATACGCGTATCTGATAAGATCACTACATCAGCTCCTTTTCTGCTGGAAATCCATGCCGTTGTGCGTTTCCGTTTCATGTTATCCTCCAGGCCGTTGACATTCAGGCCCGCAAACGAAAGAGTATTCCGTGTATTCATTTGATTACTGTTTGATTGCCTCTACGCATCCACAGGCAGGTAAAATAGATCACGGCAACCATCATCGAGCCAGCTGGGACAAAGCAGTCAAAGTCCGTACTCCTTGCGTATCACGTGCAGGTTCACTTTCTCCAGGGTTGCACGAGTGACAGCACCCAGTTGCTCCTAACCATGGAGGTGACGAGCGGAGGTGACATGTTCTGCAGCAGCAACAAATAGCTTTCCATGAGCCTTCCCGCAACCCAGCTGCGTGCAGATCCACTCTTCCCTGGCACTTCCGGTGGATACAAGCACAATCGCAGGGTCCAAGAGAATCGGCCGTATCAAACGCGTTGCAAGCAAGGATGCGGCTGCGACAGACGACCAGAGGGTTAGTGATGGTATGAGAAGGTAAGTGACAAACATCTGCCGAATGCACTGCAGCTCCGTTACCGTTGATCCTATGCACACGGCTCAAACTCAAACTCCA